GTGCCTGGAACCTGAATACCTTCAAAGCATTCACCAGGCAGCGGGGCTACATCGGCACTTCCAGGGCATGGTGAGGTTGGGGCCATTCAGGCCGGGTGGGGTGGGGGATCTTGCAGCAAGTCAATGGTTTCCTTGGGTGGTGTTGACCTGGAGCTCACATGGAGCCTCAATAAACACGAAGAGGCGCTAATTAATGAACTTAAGAGGACAGGAAGCAGCTGCTGGAATTACGTGAAAGCTCTCAAGAAGGTTTGCCACCATGAGCCAATGTATGCGGAGCTGTCAAGGAAGCCATAGAAAGGCTTTCAGATTTTCAGACGATTCCAGGATATTTTGGAGCATTTTCACCAATGTCGTTCACATGTTGGATCCTGTTGACGTGGCTGTGGGCGAGAACTACACTTCCAGAACCATGAAAACGTAAGTTCACATTCTCAGCAGTCCTCCCCTCTCTATATTCTGGGCGTTTGGACGTAAAACCAGAGTTGACTCCGGTTTCTCGATCCATTTGGAAAGCCATATAATCACACAAACATCCGGCCAACGGGGCTCCCCTCAATCCAGAAAACACTGGTCCACCAGACTGGCATAGCAAGGAGGGGCTTCGACCGGCGAGAACTGGGATTCCAACGAGTGAAGACTCGGCAAGAAACCAGGACATTCAGATGTGTGTTTTTATCCTTGGCACATTGTGTTACGGAGCTTTCAGTTTTGCTTCAGGATTTGTTGCTGATAGACGATGATAACAAGTGAGTGTCGTTACTGCTAGCTAAAAGTCACTCCTGCAGCTTGTGTTGACCAAGTCTGTGGTCGCCACCCGGCGTCATTGAATCAATCCAAACTCATTTTTGCCATGTTCCTTCAGCAGTTGGCCCACAAGACTGGAGAGTATCACTTGGCCTACAACACCGAAACAGAAAGGCTCGCGAATCAACTAGTGGCGGCCACGATGGAGGCTGTTCTTGCAGTTTCGCAGTTGACATCCAAGACGTTTGCCAAAGGCCAGGAGGCCAAGAGCTGGTGGTGCAGAAGTTCAAGGAGCATATGGCTGAGCTGGGTCTTCCAAATGGAGTGGAAGGTCCAGGGTGCTACTGGGTGTTCGGAGGATATCGTCTTATTTTGAGAGCCAGTTCAGAGGCAGCAGAAGTGGCAGCTTGCCGCTTGAAGGAGGCCGCGCCTGGAGGCACTCAAGTCGACTGCCCCATTTGCCACGAGCATCGTCCTGGTGTGGCGTTGATCCCCTGTGGCCACGTGATTTGCCGCAGCTGTCAGCAGTCGCAACAAATCCGTCAGTGCCCGATGTGTCCACAGCCAACGCACTCGGCTACTCAGGGGCTGTTCATGGACTGAGATTAATGTAACTGGAGAGACGAAGATGCCTTTGCAATTGGAGCCGTTCTTGTCAGCATGTTGAGATGGCATTGGGGGAATGGCCATCTTTGGCATCTGACAAGTGCCCAAGGAGCAGAGGTCGATTGATCCAGAATGATGGGAGATTCTTTGTGGCTGGTGCGCCGGTGGGGGATCTCGAAAGCTGGATGACTTTGACTTGGTCGTTTCTTGCAGGAGACCTGCAAGGAGCTGCATGAGTGTCCCAACCACATCCCTACATCCTTCTGCAAGGTTATCCACTTCAGAGAAGAAATAAATAATTATGGCAATTGCAGGTGTTTCCTTTTGTGTTTTTAGGCCGCCGTTGCTTTGGTGCAGGAGGATCTGGTTGCACGTCAGAACGTCTCTCTTGGAGGAACTCTGACAAATGACTTCACAAAAGCCTGATGCTGGAGTCCTTCTCCAGCTGTCTCACAGGCATAGAATGTCCATTACAGTACATTGAAGATTTACTGTATTTCAAAGACCTGTTGCTGCCTTGGTGCAAAAGGATCCTATTCAAAGACATGTTGCCTGCTTTTGCAGTTGTTCTACAGTGAATTCACTGCTGCCCACAAGTGGTATCAAGTGGCATTGAGCCAAACAGACATCACAGCAGCCACAGACGACAGCGTGGCGAGTCTTAATGAAAAGGTACAGTCGTGGAGTAGAGAAGGGAATCAAACAGCTTTGCAGCTGGAGTCATTTGAGTTGCTGAGTGACCAAGAGGACTCGCTTCACGGCACGATCACATCCAAGCCCTGCTTTTGCAGGAGAGTCGGAGAGTCCAAAGACTACGTGCTTGCTAGGTGCTGGTGCTTTTGGTGCGAGGCGAGGTTGGTCAAGGATCTTGGGTTGGAACTCGTGTGTTCAAACATACCATCAGTTCGTGTTTACAGTTCTTTGCTGGGAGATCCCCTTCCTCGATTCATGTGCCTGGTCTTTCGGAAGAATTCTGTTGCCATTGGTTTCACCTGGTTTCACTGCAGCAAGCATTGGGAGACACTGACCAAAAATTGTTTGGGTGCAATGGCAGATAGGTTGCTACTAGTAGGGATGGAGCTAAGCCAAATCGAAACCCAAATCAAATCCGCAACTATCATGACATGTTATGAAACAAAGGTAAAGGTTTCCTCCCTCCAATTTGGAGCCCCATGTGGCTGTCTCTATCCAGTGTATGATGGAAGTCCCTTCACAGCTAAACCTTGGACATCTTGTTCCAAGCCTCCTGTCCCAAGCCTCCAAGCAATCTGCGTGCTGGCTCTAGGCATGGGCTATATCAGCATTGTTGGGGGCACGATCCGAAGGCGGGAAAGTCGACATTTCTTGAAATCTTGAATGGGCTGCGGGATGTTGAGACACTGTCTTCCAACCAGGTAGCTGTTATGCGAACAATGATAATGCGGGAGCACCTTTGCCCTTCAGAGTCGAATCTGCAAAGCTTTGGATCCCCCAAACACAGACATCACAGACCGAGCTGCCGGAGATTCGCAGGTGTTTGTTCTCTTCAGCTGTTCCATGCGATCACATTCCATCCTACCGATCCAGGGATAGTTGTCCACTTATATAAATCCACTTAAATCCAGAAAGGACAAAAAGTTAAGGTAAGGCTGTTCAGAAAGATCATGATGCGTGTAGCTTTCTATTCCCTTTGTGGTTGTTGATAGATCAAAGAACAGGCAGAGCGAGCTTGGAACTTAGAACTTTGGGCTGGAGACTGTTGGAGGTTTTTAATATAGATGATCGTTTCTCGGTCGTGCGGGCTCTGTACTTTCCACGTCTCATTTTGTTTTTCCAGAGACATTCCAAAAAAGAACCCTTAAGCCTGATGATGCCTGCTGCGATTTGTTGCCAGGCGGATTGTCAACGCCGAGTGGCCCTTGGTGAAAAACATATTTGAGGCCGGGGGTGGAGATGAAGTGACTTGTGGACCCGTGGATGTTGGCGCCGAGCTATCCTACCCAGGAGCCCAGGAGCTCTCATGTTTGAAATTGGTTTGTGGTATTTATATAGAGACAGCTCCAGGCTCCAAGTCCGAGCTATCATGACTTCCTTGCGATTTTGTTTTCCATTCGTGGTGCATCATTTGACGTGAAGGGGTTTGGAGGGTGAGAGAAGCCACGTGTTTGCATGACAGCTGTGGGAACAAGGTGTTTCTTCAAATTGTGGAGCTAGGATCCTGCCGCTTTAACAGCTGGAGGGGGGGCACTTGTCATTGAAATGGAGAGATGCTTCAACCCTTTTCATCAAAGTCCTAAAGAGCAGGACCAGACAAAGGAGTAGTAGAACAGTAGAACATGTTTTCTTTTTGTTTGGGATTGGTTTTATGTGTGTGAGTGGACTGAACGGGCGTGTGTCCGTCATCTTCAGCGGTCCTGGCTGTTTTGCTCACGATCTGTCGAGCATGTTTTAGAAGCGCTCTTCAATTGATTTTCTCCTGTTTTCTGGGACATGTTAGAATCTGTGACCCTAGAACCTTCCCTCCTCAACCTGCTTCAGAGGGCTGGCGCCGCAAGGGAATTTCTTTCGATCAGCCAGGAGCCATCGCCCGAAGTTCAAAGCAATACACACCCGCTTGAAGGCCGGGGTGCGGAGATTCGGAGTGAACTGCTTCGGACAGCCTGCAATTCAGTAATTCAGTGAGTAACAATCTCCAACTTGACCCCTCTCAAATCAAGCTTGCAGGATGGCTGCCAAGCTTCCATGGAATTCGATTGGCAGATGACTGCTAGTTCTTGGTTTAATTTTGGATTCTCAGGTGCATGGCTTGCCTGAAGTCACCAGTCCACTGAAAGCCCCGCGCTGCAGCTCCCTTTGACCAAGTCAGTGATTCCTACTGGACATCGTTGAAGCCAGCCTCCTTTCGGCCATGTTCCGTCAGCAATTGGCCCACAAGACCGGTGAGTCCAAGGCGGCCTACAACGTGAAGACGGAGCAGCTGGTCAACAACTTTGTGCAAGCGGAGATGCAGGAGTTCATGCAGCAGTGCAATCAAGCGGCCGAGAACCGGCGAAATCATTGCAAGTGGACCATTAACGACCATTTTTTTTGCAACCGGGATGGAGGCCAAGAGCTGGTGCTGCAGAAGTTCAAGGAGCAGATGGCTGAACTGGGATTTCCCAATGGAGTGGGCCAACCGTACTACCATAATAGTAATTTCCATGTTGACCTGACAGCCACCTGGGAGGCAGAAGATACAGCAGCCTGCACTGTCGAGGAGGCCGCGCCCGGAGGTACTCGAATCACCTGTCCCATCTGCCACGAGCATCGTCCTGGTGTGGCGTTGATCCCTTGTGGCCATGTGATTTGCCGCGACTGCCACCGATGCCAGCAGATCCGTCAGTGCCCCATGTGTCGTGAAGCCACATTTTCGGCGACCCGAGGGCTGTTCATGGACTGAGATGCAAGTGGACGGAAGAAGATGCCGTTGCAAGATTTTGGACATCGGTGTTTGTCAGCATGTTGGGATGGCATTGGGGGAATGGCCATCATTGGCATCTGACAAATTGCTCAAAGAGCAGAGGCCGATGTGAGACTCTTCATGGCCGGTGGAGGATCTTGAAAGCTTGATAGCTGTGACTTGGTGGCTTCTTGCACGAGACCTGCAAGGAGCTGCATGAGTGTTTCAATTACATCCCTACATCCGTCTGCCAGGTTCCACTGCAGAAAGATAAATTGATTGCCAATGCCATTCTTTCCTTCTTTGTTTTGGCTGCCGTTGCTTTGGTGCAGGAGGATCCTGGTTGCAAGTCAGAACGTCTCCCTCGGAGGAACTCTGACACATCACTTCACAAAGGCCTGATGCTGGAGTCCCTCTCCAGCTATCTCACAGGCATTCCCAACATCAATTCATTGGTGCTCACAAGTGGCATTGCATCAACATGCAAGAAGAAACCATAGCAGAGAAGCCAAGTGAAAGTGTCCATACCACAGTGTATAGCTCGTTGAAAAAAACGTTGAAACATTTTGAGGACATTACAACTTGCCGTGCCACTCGGTTGGACCTTTGGAGTCTTCCCACCAGGAACTGCCACCCAGGAAGGACAGCATCTCCAGCCAACGACAACGTCGTCACAGCGAGGCACGGCCTTTGCTAGATGGCGCATTCTCAATGCAGTCGTCTTGATTTGTGGATTCGGCGAATGGGATTCGGATAATTTGCTGAAGAGCAGATCGTCTGAGGCCAAACACGCAGGAAGAATCAGGAAGATTTGTATATAAGCTTTTTTGACACTTTGTTTGATTTTTTTTTAGTCACAGATGAGTCTGGCACTTCTGAAAGTTGCAGACGCTCTTTAGTTTGGTCTCATCATGTCTCATTTTTGAATAGTGCCTGGAACCTGAATACCTTCAAAGCATTCACCAGGCAGCGGGGC